ACAATAGTACATGAAAACAGGGGTGTAAAAACTCGATAAATGAAACAGAACAGAAACGTCTCTTGTCTAAATCAAAACAAAACTAAGCTTAATTACGTAATCAAGTTCTCTTTGATTGAATGTTCATTGTTCATCACAAACGGAATTTGTTTGACTAATGTGGACCTACTCGTACAAGATATAAAATCATTTCTGTTATTTTATGCAGTGAAAAGAAAGAGAGACTTCCAATTAGAAATGTATGTTATGGCTGAGGGGGTACTTAATTCTACGGATGTAAGTTGTTTTTTTATCACTGTTGCAGTTATTAAGGAAAGTGACAGGAACAATGCCCTCCTTTCATTTGTTTTGTCTCAATACGCCCGAATGGTGCCTTCAATATTTTAGCCTGAACTGAACTATTGTATACAATCAGGGGCAACTTTGGGAACAGACAGATTTTTTTTAGACCTGTTTCATGTCCAGTCCTCAACCCCTGACAATTGAAGGTGCCTATATTAAGAGGTTGCAGTACCAAAGCGACAAAAGGTCGACTTTTAAACCTGTTCTAACAACACAGAAAATAATAAAATATGATAAAAGACTTTCTAAAAGACTTTGAAAAAGTCTTAAGTTTTTTATGGAAACTGAAGAGCCTAACAATTTAACCACTTTGCAATAAAAATTGCTTCATCTTCCCGAGTAGATCTTTTTATGAGTTTGTATGACCATTTAATTTTTAACATCTACATCAGCTGGGAGCTACATATTTTTCAGTTGCCATTATCTGTTACTCCCCAAACGAGTTCATCAAACTCTGTTGCATTACGATTCTAGCCACTTTGGTTCCAGTCGTCAGTTGTACACTTTACGATATTTATATACTTTTCCTTAGGTTATGGGATTCCCTCCCATCAGTCGCACCCGCACGGTCAGAGGGCCTGCTGGTAATGTTTTTACCTTGTATTCACCCTTGAGGTATTGCTTTGCTTCCCTGAGGGTATGCTTCAAATCGCAGGATTCTTCTTCGCTTAGACCTTGTAATTCTAATTTCTCAATGACAACTAAAAGTTCGTCAAAGGCTTTTCCACCATCGGCAATGTAATAGTCGAGATCCTGAAGAGATTTTCTCTCTTACGCCAGGCATGAAGTTGATAAAATTCGAAGAAGGGTTTGTTTGCTTAATGGCTCAAATTCCTGCTCTGTGCAGAAAGTAATATACTGTTCAACAACAGCGCTGTGAATCATTAACTGAGTGACATTTGGAATCTTTATAGTTTCTCTGCTTTCCATCTTAATGTTCCTTGTCCCAAGTGGCAAATCCTGAATGACATGACCACTTGTGATAAAATCTAAAAAGTGATCAACTTCAATAGGATCAACTCGTTCTCTTGGAAGGCCCGAGCTTACTGGGGCAGAAGCCCCTCTTCCGAATTGTTCTTTATGCTTTTTCGCTTGGCTCACTTGATGTCTAGTTTCTTCTGGGATCAATTATTGCAGCCATTTAAATGGTAGTATATTGGCAATTACACTCAGAACTTGCCTTCTCTCTCCTGGATCAAACAGCTCATTATAGCTTTCGACCACTGCCATAAGAATACCTGTGTTTACACTAAGCATTTCTTTGTTGATTTCTCCTGCTGTAATGGAGTGTGATGTTGCTTTTAAAAGGTTGTCTGTATCATTTGGAGCTAAGGTGTGAACAGTTTCAGTAATATCTTTCTTAACCTTGGAAACATAAAAAGCTTGAGTTTTTTTACTTGCGGTTTCCCATGGAACTTTTAGGGTGCAGGGAGAGGGTTCCTTTCCAGTTGACACCAGAAAACAATTGAGGGCCTCCAATGCATTTGCTTTAGTTTCAGACTCATTGTTGTCATCATCTCCTTCACTGACTGCCAACTACATAGAACACTAGGTTTGGTCTAGTGCCCTTGCTTGTGACATTGCCTAAACAAAATAGGGAATGTTTATCATGCCGACCCATAGAAGGCCCACACAGAGGGAGAGGCCAGTTTGGCTTGCAACCCCCCCTCCCCCCTTAATTAACTTTTTGTGTGAAAAGGGGTTTTCATAATGACGAAGATATTCTAAATGGAAGAGTACTGCACATCCCAGCTAATGTCTCTAATACACAATCCCTCCTGTAATCCAGTAACCACACAGAGGCGCTTGACTGTTGCAGCCAGAAAAAAGGAACAGGAATGTCGGGGGGTGGGTTGAATGTTTTTTAGTCAAAAAGTGGAAGATGCACTGCATTCAGCTTTTCCTTGATAATATCAATTTGTTCTTTGCTAAAAGAAATTTCCTCATCTCGTGGTTTTCACTACAGTAAATCATTTATAAAAATACAAAATTTATGTTATTGCACAGCCATTTTGCTTTTTGATACCTCTCTTTCCCTATTATTGACATGTTCTCTGCATTGTCTACAAATTCCTGCAAGAAAAGGAAATAACAGTTTCATAAAATAGCCACAGCAACACTAATTACAAAGACGCCAGATAGACAGCAAAGATAAGAGCAAGATTACAAGGAAGCTCACAACAAAATTTATTAAGGCAGTATTTCTCAGCAATTATATTTGAGATAAAGGGTTTACCGTTAAACTTTTCTTGTATTATCTTCCCAGACTAGCAGTTTTTTTTCATACTTTAATTATTTTGCTTACAGCCTTCCCACTAAAACCCTGTTATTCAATTTATGTGGTCATCTTTTACTTAGTTAGGCAGTGATTATGCTTTTTTAAAACAGCAGATCCATAGCATTTTCAAAATTGTTTATTGTGCTCTTTATATTCCCAGTTAAGAATGGAGCATGCAACAACTTACTTGAGCCAACAGGAACAACTTTAGTTGTAAGAAAAAAAATCTTTTTTGCAAGTGCACCATTTACTGCCCAATCGGCCTTAGCACAATCTTTTTGATGTGCCATGGCCTCTTTCTGGATTTGGCAAAATCGCCATTTCCCATTCCAGTAAATGCCAAGAGAAAAATGATGCAGAGCGCAAACTGTATGCCATTGTTGGACTTCCTTGTCAAATAAACCTGGCATGGTAAGAAAGGGAGTAAGGTAAGTGCAACTTTATAAAAATCGTTCACCTTGTATGGGGCAAAAGTGCCACCAACAAAAAATTGAATCACACAGTTTTTAAACTTGCCTGTGCGCAGCAATATTAAATCTGCCTCAGACTTCAGTTCCGCGGACTCCCTCAAATGCAACACTAGCAGATGTCCCGTAATATCCCGAGTACACCGATCAATGGTAGTTATTTCATCGATATCAATGTCTCCAACTTTGTAGGAACCACAAGGCGTCCCAAGTAATTCTTTAAAGAAGCAACTTGATTTTGACATTTTTTTCCTGCTTTGGACTACCACTTATTCCCCACCAATGCAGCAAACAAATAAACATACCGTATTTTCTTGATTAAACGCCCCCGGGGTTAAAACTTGGCCTCAGGGACCCGGCGTTTATTTGAAGCCGGCGTTTATTAATGAAGTAAAATTTTCATCATTTTTAGGTTGATGTATTATTTCACATTCTTTGAGATCCATGCGCAGTTTGTCAAGGTGGGACGATTTCTCCAGTGGACCCGACCTGACATAATGTCCGTGTATCTCATACATAGGGTATTACATACGGCACATGTATATTGTAATCAGTATTTATGCAAAGAGAACAAAACGTTTGAAGTTTAAAATCGGCAATGTCGCCAACGTCCTTTATGTTTGTATCAACAAACGTTTGCAATAATGTTTGTGTTCTAATCGGCTAATCTTCGTGGACAACAATCTCATTACGTTCTTCTTCAAAAATGTCCTGCTCTAGGTCCGCGAATGGGTCATTTTCACCTACGGGAGCACCTTGTCCCAGCGCAGTGTAAAATTCCGCGGCCCTTTTAGTTAACTCCTCCCTCCTATTGCTTAGTGGGCCTTCTTTCTGAAAACAGTGGATTTTCTCATCTTCCGATCCATCAATGGGTAGTGAGATCGCACTTCAAAATTCACTTCAAAATTC